TTCAAATTTCTTTCCCTTATTTCATTTTCTCTATTGTGTATTTCTAGGTCTTTATTTGACTGCTTTTAGTTGACAGATAAACCTTTAAATTTTTAAATCATTTTTAAGGCTATTTTCCTTTTGTTGCGTGGTTATTCTTTCTGGAAAATTTTATCTTTATATTACAACTTCCTGTTTAATTTCATTGTTACTGTGTTATTATTTTCTGAGCATTTTTTTTATTCCAACATGATAGTCTCAATATTTGAATTTTATCTATCTATTTTGTCTCATTAATTAAGGCTATTGATTATACAGGTTATAAAAATGTTTTTCTTTTTTCTGCATTCCTTCTGTTTTTCTAGATTGCTTGCTCTTCTTGTTTGGCTCTATGTTTCTAATTAATGACATGGTTTATCTTACCGGTGGCTGTTGGATATTTAAGGCTAGAACTGTAGACAGAGAGTGTGTGAAGTTGAGTTGGATTGTGAACTGCATTGGCTTAAGGTCCATCCTGAGACTAGTAAAGAGCACTTCTTGGTTTGACTGGGTGAGGCAGAACCATAGCTGTGAGTACTATATTTGGTCCCTGGGCCCATCCTCTGAGATGCTGGTGTTCTGCTCTGCTTCCTGGCTGTGATTACACTAAAAACTTCGCTCCACAGGGCCCTTCCACTATCACTGGAGCCAGCCTACCTTGGACTGAACCCCCTGAAATCATGAGCCAAATAAGTCTTTCCTCCTTTAATTGTGTGTTGGATTTTTGGTCTCTGAAACAAAAAGCTAGCTAATATATATTAGAAGTATTGTATGCAGTTTCAGGGCTTGTTGACCAATAAACTTTTGTGTAAGGAAATTAGGTAGAAACTGTGGATTTATTGAAAATACCCCCTCCCCGCTTTCCAACTATGAGGGAAGCCTAAGTGCTAATGTGGAAAGTGGGGAGAGTATGATATGGGACTCACTGTTCAGTATGCAGATCTCCATGGGATTTTCTGTTTCAGTATGGCATTTGGCGACTCCGAGTTCCAAACATGAGGATAAACCTCATTCTTTTGTTGAGTAGAAACAATGTAAGACCTGACCTAGTCTCAGACAGAATTTGAGGGAACATAATGGTCTAAATGCTTCTTAATGAAAGTTTCCACCAGTCTTTCTACCAGGTGCCTATCCTCTACCGAAGCATCAGGGAAACTGGAGGCATGTCACCTGTAGGTCTTGGATTTCAGCACATGAACTGACAAGGGTCCGGTCTCCCCATTCTTGTGTTTTGCAGACCTGCTGTCATTCTTCTTTCTCGGTCTTCATTTTCTGTTACATAGCATCTTGTCTTTTGTTTTTTAAATCTCAATTCTTTTTGCTACTCCTGCTTATAATTTTTCTATTAATTTCTCCCCTTTCTCTCCCATTTCCATTGATTTAGACCATTATTCACTTAATGCCAGGATAATTCAATCAGTTGCAAACCAACTAGTTTTTTTTTTTCTTTCAATTTCTTTTTCCCTCAACTAACATATACTGTTAAAAGCCACCAGTGGAAACAATGCTAAGACACTGCTCTCATTCATTTGGTTATTCCCCTGCTCAAAAACCTCTGGACATTTTCCGATGTTTCAAAGATATATTTTCAGTCTGGCCATCACCCCCCCGATTTCCAGACTTCCCTTTCAGTCTGCTTCACTAGGAACATTTTTCTCTGACCTGCCTTGACTTTCCCTTGAAATGCACGTATCTGTCCTCTCCTTGCTCTTGATGTTTCCTCCTCACTGACTCAGTCATTCTTCTCACCTCTTCCAAGAACTCTCTTTGAAAAAACAATCTTTGTACTCTCCTTCCCTCATGATACCATTCGTGATACTTAATATTTTTTCATGGTCCTCCACGGACTCTAAGCTTCACTGAGGGCCGTGATCTTGAGCTGTATATTGGAGTAGACTGATTTTCAATAAGAACTGGGCACCCGATTGGATCTGTGCTTCCCACTTACCTGTCTTTGCTCAGGCAGAGACAAAGGCATGGAACAGAGGGTTGTAGAGAGCGTGAGAGCTGAGTCTAGGCTGGCAGTGGTTCCCTGGAATTTAGAGCAAGACTCCCGTGTCTGCAAGGGCTGACGGAATCAAGCGCTCACCCACAGCCTTCCTTCCTGGAGACTCAAGCAAAGAAAGGGCTTAGCTGTGTGACAGTGACAGTGATCACAGGGGCTGAGGGGTGAGGAAAGTCATTGCCTGTCAAAGACAAAGGATGGGAGCAGAGATGAGCAAGGATCAACTAACACAGAGCTCACCGGAGTTGATTCTTTGGGTCTTCACATTCCTTCCTCTCAGGCAGGATCGAGACCCAAGGTTAAAGAGCTGCTGAGGGGCGGAGGGCATAGCCCAGCCGCAGAGCACATGCCTAGCTCACGCGAGGCCCTGGGTTCCATCCTCAGCACAGCAATCAAATAAAGTAAAATAAAAAGCTGTTGTTTCCCCCCGCCCCCCTAGTGCTTAAGCATTTGTGCAATGGAGTTGTGAAAGGCAAAATCTCTCTGAGCCGGGCAGAAAATGTTTTGGCTCCAGGCTGTGAATGCTGCTCTCATCTTAGGACGAGTTCTGTGTCCTCTTAGTGATTATAAGGTCCTCATCTTCTAGCTGTCCATGTGTATGTTGAATCTATATAGCAAAGTTCTTTCATGTATCTGGTCACCATTGCCTGACTGCATTTGTATTTCGCAAGTCAGACAGCTGTGAGGAATAAGTAAGCCGCGCTGTACGAAAACGCCGGGTGAGCATTGCAGCACTTTGCTGCAGAGTGGACGGAACTGACTGGACTGGAGCAATGAAGGAGTGACCTGGGGCTGGCTCTTCCTGCAGCTGAACAGAGCACGGCCGGCGCTTATGAATGAGACGTCAGAGGGGCAATGGTTAAAGGCGGTTGAAAGAGGATCCTGCCTGCCAGATTCAAGGGATCTCCGACACTGTGCATAAAACACTCTGTACTTTCAATCTTTTGTGTTAAGTGTTTGAGTCTTTGGGAAGCACCTGTTAACATCTAAAAAAAGAACGTGAGGGAGGTGATTTACTAATTAATGAATACCGTTTACATATTTTAGAGATTCATATAATGGCAGAGAGCAGAACCTTTTGAAAAAGTCCTGAGAAGGATAGGAATGCAGCACAGATACTTATGGGGGATAAATAAGAAAAGCTATTTTGATCACATGTATTGATCTTACTACTGATTGTCTACAAAATTCAGCTTTAAGGCATGACTAGATATTCTTCTCTTTTCTCCAGATTTTTATTGAATGGACTGCTACAGTTTTATATAATAAGCAGACTCCTTTGAAGACATGGAAGATAGTTACCCATTCCTGTAAGCCTCTGAGGAATGTTTGCAGGGAGGAGAGGGGTAGTTTGGTGATACAGTGCTTGTCTAGTACTCAGAAGACTGCAAAAACACTGTAAAAACAATACCATTGCCACCATCGCCGACACTGCTTGTAGTAGAAATTTTTCTAGTATTGTTCTATAATAATGTATAATAATGATTAAACTATCTCCTAATCAGCTAATCCAAAAGACAGATGAGATTCAGGTAAGCATGAATACATTTCAAAATTTGTGCAATCTATTATGTATGCAACACAATTTATTGTTTTGCAGAGATATTTACAAAGGTCCAAAATTTTTAATACTTTTTGAGAGATAGAAGTGTAGGCAGTTAAAAGTCATAGTTACTCCTGGCTTCGGAATCGTTACCTTACTCAGTGTCAGAACGCAGGCCATGATGGAAGTACATAAGAGAGCATGAAGTCTTTGTATGTGATTGTTTAAGGTATATGAGCCAACTTATTAAGCACCTTTAAATATAAAACACTTTTTAAAGAAATGTCTGTTCATATACTATGTGTATGGGTTCAGGAAGGGAATAACATTAAGGATTCCCTTTTCAAATATTTTTTGAGATCACTGGCTTCCGGTTTCAGGTGTGGCTCTTGCCTCAGTAGCCATGCAGAGCCCTCCCCTCTCTATGGGCATGAGAACCAAGGAGCCCCAGCAGCTGAGTGTTGGATAGCAGTTGTTTTTTTTCCAAGCTAAAACCTCAGTATTGCAGTGTTTGAACTCTGTGATGAATAAGTGGATTGGAGTCGCAGTTTGGATGCTTGATGTCTAAAAAGTTGCCATCAGTGCTGTGCTGGGTACCAAACTCATCATTTGATAAAATCTCCTCTCTGGTCGATGCAGATACATAATAATGGAGAGAAAGACAACAAGCACGACAAGCAAGTGAAATATGTTAGATGGGATTGAGTACTACCGAGAAAAATAGCGTCAGCAATAGACAGAGCCATACTGAGGTTTGAAATTTTGACTCACTTGGACAAGAAAGGCTTCTTCGAGAAAATGACATAGAACTAAAGCAGGGGAACCAAGAAATGAGAAGACCCTGATGCCATTCATGGTTCAGCTTGCTGGAAGGGCAAAGCAGCAGTACATCCTGGGCAGAGCTAGGGAGGAGGGGAGTCATAGGAATGATCTCAGAGAGCACAAGGGAGAATGCTCCGGTAGGTCTCATACAGCATTGTAAGGACCTGGACTTTCACTCTGCATACTCTGAAAAGTCACCAGAAGTTTCATGCAGAAAACTGACCAAATCTGGCTCATTTTTAATGAGAAAAATCTGATGGGAGTTTGTAGATGCTTTCTCTTGATGGAGCCATTAAAATTCTTAATGTAGAACAAGAAAAAAAGCACAGAAGCAGGAGGTGATTTTGCGGCTATTAATAATTTAGTCAGGAGTTGATCTTGAATTGGATGAAGAAGATGGAGGTGAGAAAAGATGTGGGTGTTTTTGTGATAGGTGGAGGTTGATCTTATGGGATTTGCTAATGGAGAGGAGGCTATGGGTCTGCAGTGGTGAAAGGGAAGGATGGGAGAGAGCAAGGGAGGGAAGAAGGAGAGGGTTTAGGCTTTTGTTTTTTGTTTTTTCTGGTACCAGGGCTCAAACTCAAGACCTTGCACTTACGAGGCAGATGCAGGCCCACTGAGCTACATCCCTGGACCTGAGTGTTGAGATTTTTACTGAGGAACCTAAGAGCAAAGCAAAGGGACCTCTGAGGTGGGTGATAGGATTGAATGAGGCTGCTGTTCTACATGATCGCCTCTCCTATTTCTTAACTCTGGGCAAATAGCAGCTTATGGTTCCCCACGTGTCTGCTCTGCCATGTAACCCCACCACCTGGGCCACAGAGCGACAGGAACAAAGGCGGATTCTTGAAACGGAGGCAACTACCTTTGAATGTGCCTCTTACAAGATGTCTGCTCAATTTACAGACGTGCTGTCTACTAGATGCTGCCAATGACCAATTAAACCCACCCTCAAAGAATTCAAGTAAGGATTTTCAATCAATACTCAGCATGGAGGGAAGAGGAGAAGAAAGGAGACAGAAGGAAATGCTGAGTAGAAGCCTTGGATGAAAATCAGCCAGGAGCAACCAGATTTCAGCAACCAAGAAGGAAGGTGAGGCAGGCACTGGAAGGGTGGAAAGAGCCATGGATGATTCAGAGTAGTTAGCACAGGAGACCGGAGAGCTGGCCCTGTAACACGGGTTTGTAGCTGAACAGATGCTTTAGTGCTGTGTATGGGGAGTTGAAGTTAGTCACCCAGCCAAGGCTGAGGGCTCGAGTCCCCGTTCTCCACCCTGGTTGGGTTCATCTGCTGTGCTGCCCGTCCCAGATTAAGGCTCCACCAGCCACAGTCCTCTAAATCTAAACTCATGGGCTGAGCCTCTGTTCCCCCTTCCCCCATTCATGGATCAAATTTGTCAATGCAAACTTTATTCAAAAAGGAACAAACACCCCTTTGTCCCTCTCTCCATGCCGCTCTGTTTTAAATCACAAAAATTTTTCATCCGTAGCTGGAGAATTGCACTGTTAGTCCATTTTTGGTAACGATGATGAAATACCTGAGTCACACTGCTTAGTGAAGGGAAGAGGTCCATGTTGGCGCTTAGTGCTGGAGCTGTGACCCTTCTCTGTGATACGTGAGGGCAGAATGTCCTGTGGCGGGAGGCAGGAAGTACACACGTACATGCTGTAACTGTCTGGCTCCGGTCCCTGTTACAAAGACGGTCACGAGGATCTAATCATAGTGCCTCACCCCAAAGCCCTTACCTAATCTTAATGCCTCCCCAAAGTCCCGCTTTAAACACCCCAGGTGGATGGTGCTTTTGCTCTCTTGCTTGCTCACAGTGGCAACTGAATTTCATTACATGCGGCTTTGAGGGCCCCGGGTGCTGCCACCTTGTAGCACTTGCCACTCTGTGAAGTCTCCACCTGTTGCTGTTCTTTTTGCCCTGCCAGGTAGAACAGAATGTAAGCTATTTTCTATGTTTGGTAAGGCTGTTTCATGGTACAGCCCATCTCTGGAAAACACACACACACACACACACACACACACACACACACACACACACACTGGACCTGTGATATTTTCCTTGTGGTTAGTCCACTAGTGATGACTCTTTTCTGAAGGCTTTAGAGCAATTCCCAGGCTTGTGAGAAAGCAAGTGGACTCCTGTGAAGAATGAAGATGGGTGTAAGTGGTTCACAATTGCACGCTCATTTTCTCGTGCATATTAGGAGCTGATTGAAGCTACCTGGAGAGTGAATAGAATTAAATCTCTCTGTTCTGGGAGAAGAACATCCAAAGTGTTACAGGAGCCAAAATGGGTGAGAAGTCTGTCAGAGAGCAGCGCTGCAGGGGAAGCTGTGGCCATGTAAGGTGACTGAGGGACCCGTGTGTCTGCTTCAAGTCTTTCACTCCACCCCATAACACAAAGAGTACAGCAGAATTTCAGAGAATGGCTCTTATCTAGTAGACAAGAGAGGGTTTGGGTCACTGTCAACAAGATGGATGGAGTTTTAATGATCTTTAAAACAATGAGCTAACTCAGGTGGTGGGTAAACACTTCTAATCTCAGCTCTGGAGGCTGATGTAGGAGGACAGCAAAACTGCCGTGCTCCGGGCTTGGGGGAAAGAAGACTGAAAATGATCGGTGCCTTGCTTGGTTGGCACCTGTTGTCTATACTGTTACTTTAAAGTTTGGCAAAACATTCAAATATATTTAAAATATCTAAAATGTTTAAATATTTAAAGCATTTACAATTTAAAAAAGATCGACATGTTTAAAACTAAAGAGAAGTATTTGTGAACTTAGTAGAAGCTTTATTACACAAGTTGCTTCAATGCAAATGCTTTATATCTTTCACAGAATACTATAAACTATCCTCACTGAATGTTTAGTTAGCCATTTTCATTAGTACCCAAATGTTATTCTTTCAACACAGTAGAAAATTTATTTTCAAAAACCTTCCCGGGACTAAGCGACTAAGGGTACAATTAGTCTAAAAACAGTCTGTCGCAATGACCAATTGACACTGGCTAGGATGGAAAACTTGTGAGGCAACTTCAGCAAATCTGTGTCTCTTTTGCTTAAGAAAGAGAATCCATCGTGACACAAATTCAACACTGGCACCCTCACTCTTCTTTCTGCTAATTGATTTATTGGATTTGTGAAGAGCTCTCTCTTTCACTATATCAATTTAATCTCAGTCATCTTTTTGCCTGTCATGTTTCACATGTGTCTATGTGAAGGTATCAGGCCTGGCCAGGTTTGGTTTGGGAAGAAGATAGTTCTGTTTTCCCCACCTAGACATGGCTGGAGGCTTACGAGGAGTTAACATACTGCTGGACCATCCTAAACGCATGTCCTGAGACCTTCACGGTTCAGTTGATAAATTGGTGTAAATAATTGTGCTGCAAAGTGGATTTGGATTATAAATTTGCAGCGTTTAGTTCTCTGGTTTGCATCATTTTTCTTTTCTAGTGAATCTGCTTATCCAGCGAAGGACCTTGCTCCAGCACACCTAACAGAAATTTGCAAGGCAAAGCACAAGACTTTGCTAATTGGTAATTTGCTTCTTCTCTGTGAGGTGAAAAAAAATGTGCTTTATTTTTTTGAAATGGGAGTGATGACCATGGATTTGGTGGGTGCAGCAGATGACCCTGAGCTGGCCCGTCCCTTGCTCCTGTGGCTTCAGTGGGCAGTGCCAGACTCTAGAAGTTTCCACGTGCCAGAGGGAGGGAGAGAAGCACTGAGTGAGTCGAGAAGAAGGCAGAGGTGGCAGGGTGGGAGGTGAGGGAGTGGGAGCCCCAGACGGGGAAGTGGGTGGCTGAAGCCGGGGCCGCTATGGGAGTCACCAGTGGGGGGACCTGGACGCCAGAGGCTGCACGCGTGTGAGCGACGCTGCCCCCGAGCCCGGGATGATCCTGGTGATCGTGTGGATTTCTGGTTTCCAGGGAAGAAGGCTTTCACAAATTGTTTCAAAAACGGTTTATGAACTTGTAGCCATCGCATTCATGGAGCCAGGCGGGGCCATCTCAACTGGTTTGAGTCTCTAAGAAGCAAGCATGTGAACATCACTTTGCGCTCTTAGTTATTCGGTGGCACTCAGTTTGCAGGGCCCGGGCCCGGGGTTCTGAATGAGAAATGGACCCTGCCTCAGTATAAATGACAAGTCAACTGAACCTGCAGACGTCAGGGGAGTCACAGAAACGTGAATGAGCGCATAAATTATAGCACAACTTGCCCTAGCCCGGTCTTCTGCTCTTATTTTTTCTAGCACAGCTCCTCCAAATAAGGATGAAATGCTTTGGTAAAGAACATTTAAATACAGAAAAAGAAAGTAAAACCATGGTTGATGAGAGTCTGTTAACCCACTTTTCTCTCTCAATATTTTGCTTCTTATTAATAATCACCAGGGCAGGTGTGTGGGGTGGTACTATGTCTGCTATTAGGGGATTTCAGCAGCAAGATTTGGTATTTGCTCACAAGGGGGAGAGTCTTCCCACATATAATACAATCAGTTCTCTTTGAGAACAAAAGGGGTAGCATTGCTGAAAATTATGTCACAGCCAACGTTAAAGTGGGCTTTACTCTTTGGTCTTCCGGTCTGGGAAAAAAAAAATCAGTATACCAATTTGAGTTTCTTATACAGAAATGATCTGGGCCTTTAAAATTTTGTCCAAGACATTGCACTGTCAGCCTCTGTCCAATCTGCTGTGTAGATTGATTAGGTCATTTGTGATTTGAGGGGGTGGTTTTGAAATGACGCTGCACAATGCCATTTGGAACTAGTTATGAATTTTAAATACCCACACTCCTTTTTTCAGGGAATTAAATTATACTGGCTGTTAAGGAAGGAAGGAAGAAACAAGGAATGAAGGGAGGGTAAGAGGTAAGAAGGAAGGGAGAACCAAGATGGAGCATAGTAAGAGAGCAAGCAGAAAAATCAGCATACTTGTACATGTTCAGGTGGAAAGCACAAAAACGTCTAGCTCAATTCAGAGACAGTTTTCTCAGGGAGAGATAAAAATTGCTATGGTAACCAGGCAGGAATATCCCTAGTATTCCAGTGAAGCCTAAAATGGTGTCTGTTGCTTTGCAGATGGTGGACGCCTCCGGATATTCCGTTCTGAAGCACTAGAGGGCAGTAAAGTACTGGGAAGCAAGTGAAGACTAACAAAGAACGTTCTCTCCCACCGCCACCTCCCCCCAGCCACATGCTGCTAAAAAAGAAAGATGGAATGCAGAGAGAAACATTGAAAAGAAGTGCGTACTGTATACCAGAGCGCAAGGACGCATTTTATTTCAGTACTAAAGTGAGGGGATAAAGGGTTGTTTCAATATACCCTGAAATAATTGCAACCGAAATTCTTGCACGTTATAGGATGAATTATAGGGGCTGAAAAATCTTGTTGAGCATTGTAAGTGTTCCCTCCCTCCTTCCCTACCCCCCCACCAGATGCCCAACTCCACCAAATGGAAATACAGCAGAATGAGTGGCAACTCCAGATTTGCGGTCCGTGGCTCCCACCTGAGTTAAGAAGAGTCTAGCTACGGGACTCAGACAATTGGAGCTTCACCCCCTCTTTTTACCTTTTCCCATGGCGACTAGTTTAAAAATATAATTATTTTCTTCTAGATTGAGCACATAGAGAGCAACTGATTTTCTGTGGTTTTACCTGATTTGATTTCTATTTACCACATGAAGAAGATGGAGTTGTGTATCATAATAAAAATGTTTTATTCCTTTTTTATTTTCGAGATAAGGCTCACTTTTTGTGATTTAAGGATGTGTTTCAAAATCTTTGTTTCTAAATGTAGTTTTATAATCCAGGCTTGCATTTTTGTTTAGTACAGCATATGTTTGAGAAAATTGTAAGGATGACATTTTGTTAGGATTCACAAAAACCGGATGATGAGACTTTTATTGTTAGGAATAAATGACAGCTTATATATTTAGTATTTAAACTGTTTATTTCTTGTGCCTTTTATTAAACCATTACTTAGAAATTAAGACACTGCTGGGAGCTATTGAAAAATAGGATAAGGGATTTTTTTTTGAGGTTTCAAATTTAAGAGAAAACAGGAAAGAACATTGACTGTGTATGTTTCTCGCTTTAAGCAATAGCTGTATTCTCCAAAAGAAGTCTGTCAATTGATTTTTTTTCTAAATGGAATCATAATTTTAATTAACTCCTACGAAAATTTCTAAGATGTTTTATCTTTATTATTTGTCAGTGATTTCTAGCATTTAGCTTTGAGGACTTTCTGCTCAGCAAGTAAACAATCTAAAAACATTCCTGTACGCCAAAGTTACTATTTAAAAAAAGAACTATGAAGCAAACTGCTTTCAGAAATGAGAATCATTTGATTAACAACATGGAAAAATTTATAACCCTGCCTCTTCTCTTTGTAAAATCCAGGCTTCCATTTTGAGTTTTGTGAAATGAGTTTTCTACTCCTTCCTCATGTATTTCGGTCAAGGATCCTCCTGAAGAAATCTTCGGCATTACTCTATATAAATGGGAGCTGTGGGTAGAATGGCTCATGCATCTCTGTCTTTCTCCTTGTAAGGAATATTTAAGAATACTTAAGAGCTTTCTTCTGGACCTTCTGTGGATCCCTTATAGTTCTTGAAAGCAACGTGTAGAGCAAATGACTTCCTCAGCCATCCATTCCATAAATCTTAGCTGGATTCTTGTTGGTCACTAGTTAATAGGAAATGCTGTAGAAATAATTTTTCAGGAAAGCAAAAGCTATTTTCACCTTACTGTGTCTTCTGGGACCAAGGCTTTTGGGGCTTGGAAGGATTACCTCCGCAGTTAGTGCATTTGTTTTAAATTCCTGAAATAGTGACATATTTTCTGAAAAAAATAGAGACAGAATTTCAAGGCTGCCGGAAAAATGGAATTATCTGAGGGCCAGCTATTCCATGTCTCCCCAAAGGACGTGGAACTTAGGAAGACTCGGTGTGTTCTAAGAATTGAAATATGCAAGTAAATTTAATGCTGTTCACGTTTCTACTTAAACTCCTCACACTTAATGCAGCTTGCACAATTTTCCAATATCAGCCTAATATTTTTTAAAAAACAAAATTATATCTTTATTAATTTAAGATTCTAGCATGTAGCTTATATGCATTAAACTTAGATTAAAAGACTCTAGTACTGGAAAATTTATTACACTACTAAAACTCAGTTACAATCTATAAGTTTCCTCTCTCCCTTTACACAGCTGGCCTCAAAGATGTTTTGTGTGTGTGTGTGTGTGTGTGTGTGTGTGTGTGTGTGTGTGTCTGTTTGGTTATTGGAGGCCAAGTTCTTTACAAAGCTAGATCAGACAGAGGTAATAAATAATGCCTTTACTTATCTACAGGGCATTGACCAAATGTCACTTTCACTGCTGTTTTTATTTCTATGAGAAAAAGACGGATGCATAACATTCAGGGTTGTATTTATATAATTCAAGAATTTTAATTATGCTTCTTCATACTCAGAGAATACAATCATTATAATGTGGTAGCATAATTTATTCTGTGTGTTTAATTTAGGTAGGGATGTGTGAAACATGCAAGAAAATTCAAAGCACTAGAAATTAGCATTACACCTGTTCACCAAGACTTTAAGTGCTTTATAAACGATGTTTTCTTATTTTTGATTAGCATGGATTCATTTCCTATGTCCACGGGGTTCGGTGTGATATTGTAACACACAGCACATCATGTACTAACCAAATCCATTCTTCTCCTGTCCTTCTTTCCCACCCTTCAATCACCACTCTAATCCCAGTTGACCCAGCTCAGCTCCCACGTATGCCAGGCAGTGCGTGTTCTGTGGCTTCTTTCACTCTAGCCCTCTGGATCCATCCTTCCTGCTGAGGATTACAACACTTCCCTTTTCTTCCTGGCTGAATAGCACTTCATTGCATATATGTGCTATGTTTTCTCTATCCATTCTTTGTATTGCACTCACCATATATGTACAGGTAAGTGTTGGTTTGCTGTTTTCATCTCCTTTGTGTATATACCTAGAAGTGGGATAGCTGGGTCTTATGATAGCTCTATTTGGTTTTTTGAGTAGCCTCTGTACTGTTCTTCAGTATTGTTACACTAATTTACTATGCATCTTGCAGTGGATTGATATTTAGAAAATATACTGATCTAAAAAAATAATAAAAAACCAAATAATCTCATTAAGATGAACAAATGACCTCAGTAGAAAATTTTCAAAAGAAGAAATATAAATGTGGACTTAAGAGCTCTATGATGTTACAATGTTACCCTCATTTTACAAATGAGGAAATGAAGGAACAGAAAAATTAGTTAAACCACCTTAGGTGTCACAGAAAATAAGGAGAGAAATCGTAGGTAGGCACTATGGCCCCAGAGTGTGAGTGCTCTGTCCAGGTGTCTCACAGGGTCCCACACCGGAAGGACAGGTAGGGCAGCTCACGAGCTAGCAGTAGAAGTGATGGTCTTCATTTCAGAGGTGCCTAATTCACTCAAGATTTTGTTGAATAATTCATATCGCCTTCCTTTCGTATCCACCAGCCCAGCCCTTACTTTAATTAGCATTTTAAACTTGCTCAGTGTTTATGTCTTTTTCATTAAGTCTAATTAAAAAAAATTCTGAGATTTCTCACATCTGTCCAATTTGAGACTATATTATCTTGCATTTTAACTGGGTAGATTACAAACAAAACTTTATGATAGTTTATAAAAGGGGGGAAAGCTTTTTAGCTTTTACTGACTAAAATATATTAAAGGAAAACATACTATTTCTATCTTCCCATTGGTCAAAAAGAAAGGAAGGCACAGCTAGATCCATTTTGATTATTTAACTTCCCAACTGTCTTATGATAAGATGGAAGCAGTCTTTTCATGGCTTAACCAAATTTTGTGGATCTCAGTGGTCCACATGAAGAAATCACTGATTCAAAAATTTTCATCCACAATATAAAGTAATATTTAGTACAGTTGTTTGGTATATTTATATCAAACAAACCCAGGATGTAGTTATTCATCATACAATGATTCTATAGAAGTCAAATTTATTCAGAAGTTGTGAATTTACTTTTGTTTTTTATTGACTAAGTGGATACAAATAGGATTTGTATAAGCATTAGAAGGCCAATAAAGGAAGCAGTGGGCAAAATTTCTTTAGTTTTTTTTTCTTCTTTTATGTCATGAATATTGTACATAGAGTTAAGTGTTTGGAAGATATTTGTATTTAAAAGTTATTTTTATTCCTTAAAGTCAGTGTCCTCTGCTATGAGGAAATTCAGAGACATCTGCATTGTGGCCACAGACACTTTCTAGGTTTTACAACAGTTACTGCCACTGCTTCCTGTCCTAGATGTTTATTTCTTTGTTAATAATGCTCTTTATTATTATTTTTGATTAACCTGTATTAATTGTATATATGAATTGGGTTCCATGTGATATTTCAGCCCATGCAGACAGCATGCAGTAATCTTTATCTCCCATTCCCCTCAGCCTCTGCAGCCTTTCCTTATCACTATTCCACATTCAGGTTGGTATTTTGTTTTCACAACTGAGAGAGAGCATGCAGTACTCACCTCTCTGTGTCTGGCTTATTTCACTTAACAGTGTTTCCTAACTCCATCCATTTTGCCATCAGTGATGGGACTTTGTCCTTTATGACTTCATAATATTGTACCATGTGGCATTTTCTTCATCCACATTGTTGATGGGCGCTTACCGAGATGAATCTGCATCCCCTTAGAACGTCGTGTGATTGAGTTACCTCTTCTGTGATGAGTCCATTTCCTGAATTTCATCTTACAGAGATACAGTCTGGTACAAATGATGAGTACAGTGTTGGAATTTTAAAAACTTGAGCTAGCATTCAAGCTTTCAGTGGTGCTCAGTAGTAGAAGACACAACCCTTGGGGTGATGCAAGACATAATTCATTTGCTTCTTTAGCTCTGAGAGATCTTTGATCTCGTAGGCATGAGGGAGTCATACTTAGGAAATCTGATGGCTTTCAAACTATTTCAGTCATCAGGGTTTAGAGCAGAAGGAGGTGGTGGAGGTGAACTGAAAGTCCCTGAGTCTTTGCATTGAGATCCATCGACTCTCAAGAATGTGTTGCGATCCTTGACTCTTTTTATGGGGAAAACAAAGTCTTCATTTCCATGTCATGACTCAGCTTCCAGGGCTCACCCTGGAGACTCTAGACATGACTGTGTGGAGGTTTCTATTGTCACGCAGCCACTCTGAGTGAATCCAGGTGGCAGGTGGCCCCTGGTGCTGACAGCTCCATGGTGGTGTGTGCTGTTTACAAGATCCGCAGTAACATCTCCTGTTCCGCTGATTTCTTTTCCTGTGCTGAAACTTAGTCCTAAATTCAGTGGGACCCATTCCAATGGGTCCATCATCATGGCACTGCTATTTGCCCAAAGCACAATTTTCTCAACTTTTATTTTCCCATAACTTTAATATTGAATAGGATATTTATTTGAGCTTCTATTATTACATGCCAGACACTGCCATATTTAATGACTTGTTTGAATTATTCTATGAGTGGTGTGCATGTGTACACACACACACACACACACACAC